TTTAATAATTTTATTATCTTTGTTATTAAAAAGTCAAGGAAAATGAGATATTTGCACTTTTTATTTCAAAACTATAGGGGAGGCTTTTGTTATAGTCAAAACAAAAAAGGTAGTTTATAGATATAAGAGGAGGTTTTTTATAATTTTACCTAAAAATAATACAAAATAACAACAAATCAATAAAAATAATAAAAATCAACATCAACATATAAAATATAAATAAAGGCAGTGCATTGCACAGTCCTCATTAATTCATTCATGAATTTCCAACAAGTTTCGGCGAGAAATTTCTTTCAAGGCGAAGGACAAACGACCTTGGTCTTCAATTGCAAATGAATTCATTCATGAATCAACATCAACCAAAAAGCTTTTTTCTTTTTCTTTGGACCGGCCATTAGTGTTTCTTTTACGTACAATTTATCACAGTAGTGACTTGTGAGAGACAGGATTGACTCACGAATGATTTATAACTGAGGAAGTGAAGAGGAAGCTCAAAAAAGAAATGAGAAAAGTTCAACCAAAAAGAATTTCGAGAATCGACGACCTCGTTCTTGGAATATGACTTAAAGACCAAAGCTTTTATCTTTGAAGCAGACGAAGAAAAATATTGAGCGTTTTACTTACATTTAACATACATTCAATTTTCTCCAATTGGGTTTGACTCCTGGGGCAATTGTTGGGACAGTGGAGGACCCGCTCGTCGACAGGAATGAGAAGTCATCAAATAAAACTTTATAATAATGTAGTAGGACCGATCATACATACATAAATTTCCTGGAACAATAATGTTAATTTAAAACCGTGGCTCAAATAAAGATAGAGGGGAAATGTTTGGATTCCTGAATTGGCTTTTAATAAAAGATTCAAATTTATAAATGTAACAAATCTATGTTCAAGATAACACATTAGGCTCAGTTTGGAATGGAAGGAATAGGAATACACAACGTTTTAAAAAACGACTCAGAAATGAAATCATTTTAGCCATCGGTTTTTGGGTCAACAGTCCGATCATTAGGTTCAAATGGACGGTTTGTTCTGACAGCAAAATTAAAATAATAAAAAAATGGTCAAAAATCGTTGAACGGGTCGACAGTTCGACTGTCCGGGTCAACAGTTTGTTGATTTTTTCAATGGTTTTTTATCAGATTCCGGGTTTAGGGTAAAACGGAACCGGTTGCTTAGATGGTTTCCAGGCCAAATGGTCTAACCATCCAAGTCAGCGACAGTTCGAAAACATTGCAAATATAAATATGTACAGTGCAAATCCATACAAAATAGTACAAAATACAAGCTTTATTTGTACTCCTTCGAAATAAAGCTTTAGCATAATATTTTATAATAACAGCAAGGATAGGGGAATTACTGTGAACACAAGTGTGTGAACTTATCTATGAGTGAACATGCCAGTGTTCAATACACATGGCCAGGTTCACACACTTGTATTCGCATCAGATCCATACTCAATAGAAATGGGTAGTTTTTGATATCCATGGCATGTTTTTAGGTGATGTTTGGCATCAATGATGGTTCTTATTCATCGATTTTTGAAATCGGTGTTTTTTCAAAAATCGGTAAATTTTGTTATTTGATACGATTTCCATCATATAAGGCAGATTTTTGAGAAATCGACTTGGAATCTGTTTGGTACTTATTCTCGAGAGCTAATTATTTTTGTGTTAGAGTTATTATTCACTACCATGAGATTCTCAAGACATGAGGAGTCTCAGGTTGAGATTTTGGCAAAATTTAAATGGGCTGAACCCAAAAGCCAAAGCCTGGAGCAATATTGTAAAATGCTAACTCAGGCCAACTAAAGAGTTGCAACCCTTCTATTAGCAATATTCTTGCACCAACCTCTGTTTGATCACATCTCAACTCATGTGATAAAGATCCCGATAAGGATCAATGTAAAGCCCCAACAACACTCTTAGGCTATTTTGGTTTGAAGGAAAAAGTAGGGAAAGAAAGAAAAACATAGGAAAACCTATATACAATTTGTAAAATTTTTCTCTATATTTCCCTTCCTTTCCCTACTTTTTCCTTCAAACCAAACACAATTTTAACTCCTTCCTAATCTACTCACCCGATATACCCTACCTATATTAACAACTTGAGTCCATTCTGTTTCGGTGTCTAATATGGAACCAGAGCACTGACCTGGGTTCGTTTTTTCAACAGATCAATTGATCCTTTGTTAGCTCATTGGTTCATTGGCTGAAGGTATTTTGGTGTCTCTACCTACGCCCTAGGAGTGTTTGGATACTGTTGCTCAGCATCTCACCTACAAATCTAGTGCTCGGATCATACAACGCAGGTACGAACTATTGCATTTACAGGAAGAGTTCATGACCATGCCTGAATATTTGTTGAAGGCAAGGAATATAGCAGGCACTCTTGATTGTAGCCAATCAACCACTTTTTGACATGGACCTTATCCTTAAGAGTCCATTTGTTTTGTAGGACAAGGGTCTGACCCTATTTGAGGGAATGGTCATTCCCTCCCTCTTTCTTAGGAATGAGAATCCCATGTCAGTCGATTTTAATTCTGATGATTTAGCAAATAGGAAGGGCGAATAGATCTTTCTAATTTTGGAAGATTCAAATTCCAATTTTGATTCCAATTGTGAACCAAATAGACCTTTAATCCTTGGTGGATTAGGTTCAATTATGAAGCTTTAAGGGCCACCATAACAATCCATACAGTTTATTGGTTCAAGCATGGTTTTCAAAACTGAACCAGAAAAACCAGGAACCAGTCACCTGACCAGTTCCATTTTACCCCAAAACCACTTTTTGGCCAAAAATGGTCAGCCCCGGGCGGTCGAACCGTCGACTCAGATAATAGTCTTTTTCCGTTTTATTTCTGTTTTTTAAATTTTTCATGTTTTTTTAGTTTGCTATCAGAGCGGGCCATCTATTTGGACTAGACGGTCAAACCGTTCGACCCAGGAATCGGACCCCAGAACGGTTCCCTATCAGATTCGGTTTTGAAAACCTTGGGTTCAAGCATTGCACTTTTTTTTCTAAGCCCTTATTTCTAACATGTATCCATGAATATTGTATTGATATATGTATCAATAATTTTAGGATAAAAGACTTAAAGATACCTTGAATTTTCATTAATTGACTTAAGCATACCCTCAGTTTTTCAAAATAAGATTTAAAGATACCCTATGACTCTTTTACCTTTTATTTTCTTTCAAATTTTCAAAAAGAACCAAAAAGACTATAAACCCCAATAAGAATGGAGGTATCACAGAACTCCCTCCAACCATTAATAGATGGTAAGAGAGACTTTAACACAGATCTTGAAATTGATTAATGAGACCTCGCCTATTAATTTCTAATTCAACAGTAGAGATTGATGCTTCAACCTCATTATAAAAACACAACTGCAGTGCTATGCTCTCCCCATCCTCCTACCACTCCCACTCCCACATTAATCCCTTTCAATCCACCAAACCACCATAGAAGGTTGCAACTTGGCACCACTAACCACCAAAAGACAATGCATCTGCTCATTTTTGCTGGGAAAAATGGAGGTTGTAGTAACATCCTCTAATTGATTGATGGTTCATACTAACTTGTCCACGTAGAAGATTGATCGGTGGTGATGAGGATAGTAGGTCCATGTGTGCTTCTCAAGATAAACAAAGACCCAAGTTCGAACTGATCTCAAACTCCATTAAGTCCTAATTAACTGGACTCTGTTGTTGTTTCTTCTTATCCATCTTTCTTGCTTGTAATCCTTATCATGTATCCTTCATCCATATGTTACATAACCTCTATATTGAATATCAAACCTCACTAAATATACAGTGAGTTTATCATTAAACTGCCTCTCTAGTTTATGGTATCAGAGTTTAGGTTTGCTCAAGCCTCCTTCAACAAGTCAAGCACCACTCAAACCTCATACAACCTTTTTTTCACTGTTGTCAACCTGAACTTACCCTCTACGATGAGTCATCTAGTCCCTTAACTATCTTGTGTGTTGATATCAAGTGATCATTCCTGTGTTGAAGGGCTTCCAGCCTATGATGGGACGATTATCTGTCCTCCCAAAACCATTACTGTTGAAGGTAACACCATTCCCAATCCAGTTTTCTTACTCTAGGAGAAATAGGACCAGCTTCTGCTCAGTTGGATCCTTTCATCACTTAATGAAAGTGTTTTAGCCCAGGTTATTGGGCACACTACATCTAAGGGTGTTTGGGATACTCTTGCCTGCACCTTTATCACTAAATGTAGAGCTCGTATAATGCAGCTCTGTTTTGAACTCTCTTCTTAAGAAGTCAAACCAATCCATGTTTGATTATTTGCAAAAGGCCCGATTGATCTCAGACAGTTAAGAAATAATAAAAGACAAAGAGCTCAGAAGAGAATGGTTCGATGGGATGGTGAGCCATTCGAACCCTGTGTATTTATAGATATAGAATTATAGTTTGAGTACAACACTCAATTAGAGAGTCATATTACACTGAGTTCTATCAAATAGAGTTTATCTTAGGTTGAACTCTATCTGATAGGGTTTATCAAGTTAGTTGAGTCCTATCTTAATCCAGATAGAGATACATATGATGATGTGGTAGTGGTATTATCCTCAATACACTCACTCAAACAAATGGGCATTGGAAGCACATGCAGCTTGTGTATAATGGTTGAAAACCGAGAAGAAGCCAATGGTTTGGTGAAGATGTCGATCAGTTGATCCAATGACTGAACGTGATGAAGCTGGAGAGATTTCTTAAGAAGATGATCCAGTAGGAAGTGGAAATCAACCTCTATATGGCGGGTCCGAGCATGAAAGACAGATGAGTAGCAAGATAACATGCTCCAACATTATCACAGTAGAGTGACGGAGCCGATGGAAGTTGGATTCCGAGATCCATTAAGAGAGACTACAACCAAATTAATTCAGTAGTAATATTTGCAAGAAACCTAAATTCAACTTCTATACTTGATCTGGCAACTGTCTGCTGCTTCTTAGCACTCTAGCTCACTAGATAAGAACCAAGATAAACACAGTAGCCACCAGTAGACTGGCAGTCATCAAGGCGCCCAGCCCAATCAGCATTAGAGAAGGCAATGAGATGAGTGGGGGATTGAGAAGAGAAAATTAATGTGTGATCTAGGGTATGTTTGAGATACCGAAGAACACGCTTAACTATTATCCAATGTTCATCTATGGGGTTATGTAAGAATTGACAAGCCTTGTTAACAGCAAAAGTGATGTCAGGGCAAGTGAGAGTAAGATACTGCAACCCTCCCATAATACTCCTATACTGAGATGGATCAGAGATAGGTGATCCATGAAGTCTAGAGAGTTTAGTACTTACAGCCATAGGAGTAGAGAAAGGCTCCACACCATCAAGGCCAGGATGATGAAGGAGATCAATAATATACCAACGCAGATAAAGATAAAGTCCAGTGTGATCTTTATGAGCTTCAATACCCAAAATATAGGGTAGGTCACCAAGGTCCTTTACCTGAAACATTCGACTCAATTTGGTTATTACAGATATAATAATAGCTGATGAAGTCCCAGTGAGTATAACATCATTCACATATAATAACAAATATATACGGTGAGCACCATGAGAGTAAATAAATAGAGAGGAATCACATCTAGAGGTACAAAATCCCAATTCAACAGGCTTAGAGCTAAGGCATGAAAACCAAGCTCGAGGAGACTGTTGAAGGCCATAGAGAGCTTTGGATAACTTGCACACATGATTAGGGTGATCAGTATCCTCAAAACCCTTAGGTTGTCACATATATATATTCTCAGTGACAAGACCATTGAGAAAAGCATTGTCAAAGTCCAGTTGCCGAATGACCCACTTATGGGAAACTACAAGAGAGAGAATAGTACGAATGGTGGTGGATTTAACGATTGGACTAAAAGTATTAGAAAAATCCACACCCGAAATTTGTGTAAAACCCTAAGCAACAAGCTGGGCTTTATAGCGATCCATAGATTCATTGGGTTTTCGTTTGATATTATACACCCATTTAGAGCTGACCACATTCACCAAAGGATGATATGGGACGAGATCCCAAAGTCTTGTTCTGAACAAGAGCCTAAAACTCTTTGGACATCACATCATACCAATGATAACGCATAGAGGCTTGGGAATAAGTGTTGGGTTCAAATTCAATAGCAACAACAAAGGTAGTATAACAAAAGGGAAGAGGGTACCGAGTGGCTAGAGAGGCCTCAGAGCACATGGACCCGGTAACCATAGAATGGGTGCGCCAAACTAGAGCAGGAACCGGTTGTGTGGAGTCCAAGAGATCTTGAACCAACCAAGTCCGAGATCGAGTGCATGGGAGTTCATCTGAAGCAAAAACAGGTCCATCACTCTCAACATTATCATTGCAGCTATCCGATCTAGGTACATCAGTCCCAGGAGACGTCTGAGATGAAGACGGAGCTGCAGGAACAAATTCCCGTTGCTGATTTACACACATTGGAAGAAGATTGATGCCATCAAAACTGGGACCCAGAGATGGTGTTGGCGGTGGCAAACCAAGAAACAATCTTCATCAAAAATAACATGGCGGCAAATGTAGAGGCAACCTGTCCTGATATCATAACAGCGGTAACCTTTGTGAGAGGAACTGTACCCCAAAAATATGCAAAGAGAAAACCTGTAATCCATTTAATGCCGATTGTACGGTCGCAGGAAAGGGTAACATGCACAACCAAAAGTACGAAGTAGAGAATAATTTGGTGTGTGCTGAAATAGAATTTCATATGGTGACTTGCCTTGGAGAGTCTGAGAAGGGATGCAGTTAATCAAGAAAATCGTAGTTTCAGCTGCATCAGACCAAAAATTCTAGGGAAGAGAGGTGGCGGCCAGTAGGGTGAGAGTGGACTCTATCACATGTCGATGCTTCCTTTCAATGGTGTCGTTCTACTCATGAGTGCGAGGGCAGGCGAGATGGTGTCCGATGTCTTGGGAATCAAGATATTGTGAGAGTCATGGGTATTCCCCTCCCCAATCCGATTGAACAAATTTAATTTTTACATCAAATAAAAGTTCAACATGCCTTTTAAACTTGAGAAAAATATCAAATACATCAGACTTTTGGCGCATAGGAAAAATCCAAGAAAATTTAGAAAAGGCATCAACAAATAATACATAATATTTAAAACCACTATTTGACTCAACCGGGGCTAGTCCCCATACATCTGAATAGATTAGTTCTAATGGACGAATATAAGAAGTAGAAGAACTGGGGAGGGGAAGACGATGACTCTTTCCTAACTGACATGCATGACAAACTGGTAAACTAAACGAATCATTGTAGGGAAGACCAAACTAAGATAGCACTTGCCTAACTACTTTTACTAAAGCATGTTCAAGCCGATGATGCCAGACCCAAACTGATGTTTTCTTGCCAATAAATGCAATACTGCCGAAGGACAGAGCAAAAGCGATAGATGCTGAAGTAGGGAGCTGATAGAGTCCACCTTTACTAGGCCCACAGAGTAGAACTCTCCCCATATGTCCCTGCAAAAGAAAATAAGAAGGATGAAATTCAAAGACAACATTGTTGAACTCTAGGTTGTTGATTTCTCCTCCTGTCGAGCTGTTGAATGAAGCCATGATAATGTGGCTCTAATACCAAGTTAAGAAATAATAAAAGACAAAGAGCTTAGTTGAATGAGAATGGTTTGATGGGATGGTGAGCCATTTGAACCATGTGTATTTATAGATATAGAATTATAGTTTGAGTACAACACTCAATTAGAGAGTCAGATTACACTAAGTTCTATCAGATAGAGTTTATCTTAGGTTGAACTCTATCTGATAGGGTTTATCAAGTTAGTTGAGTCCTATCTTAATCCAAATAGAAATACATCTGATGACATGGAAGTATTTGACGATGTGGCAGTGGTATTATCCTCAATACAGACAATCTAGTAGCAAAGGGTGAGCTTGTTTCCAAATCTGAGTTAGTGCACTGTGTCCTGGGATGACTCAAACCTGATTATGAGTCTTTGGTTACTCCTATTTTACTCAATAGTAATGACAACACCTTTGATGAGAGACAAGCTCTTCTCACCAACCATGAGGTACAATTGGAACACACCAGAAATATGTTTGATGCTTTTACACCACAAGCAGATATTGCAGCCCAGAAACGTTCACAAACCCATAAGCTTGACGGCTACAAGACCAAGCCAAAATAACTAATACCAAAGGCAAGAAGACCAACCCATATCAAGGTGTCAAATGACAAATCTGCCACAAATTAAATCATATAGCGTACAAGTGTCATGCCAGGTTTTACAAGGATTTTCGTCTAGAGAAAAAAACCCCTTCTGCATATACTACATCTTCAAGTCTAGTAAAAGACAATAGTTGGTACCCTGATTCAGAGGCCAGCCACCATATGACTACAGATCTTGCTAATTTGCATCTCCAATCAGAGTACTCAAGGCCCAAATAGATCACTATTGGTAATGGTGAAGGTTTGTGTATACTGGAACTTTTAATTTTTCTTCATCTTTACATTCATTTATTCTTAGGGCTTGTTCGTTTGCTCTGAAGTCTGACAATTGAAAGTGTAGTAATTACATTAAGAGGTATATTGGTATTGGTGAACTTTTCTTTCCTCTGAACTCTGAATGTAGAGAATGTTGTTCTAAACTCTTAATTCTGAATTTTGAAAATTATCAAATATCTATTTTGACCCCATATATTAGAGTTTTTGTTTGTCTTTTTGGGGGTATTATTGGAAAACAAAAATTTATATGGTTGCACTTTAAGAGATAAGAGATAAGAGATAAGAGGAAACGAACAACCATTTTTCTCTTAAAGTTAAAAGATTCCTCTTAAGAGATAAGAGTTAAGAGGAAACGGACAGGGTTCTGCGAAATCTTTCATCTATCTCACGCTTTATTAAAGACAATGATTGTTATTTTGAGTTTTATCCAAATACATTCTTTGTGAAGGATCAACAAACAAGGAGAGTACTTCTCCAAGGGCATAGTAAGGATGGCTTATACAAGTTATAGGCAGATGCAAGTGAAGTGTGTAATAAACAACCCCAGTTCTTAGCTTTTGTCGGTGTTCGTGTCTCTATAAATAAATGGCATGAATGGCTTAGTTACTGTCCACCCAAGATCGTATGCCATGTTATTTCTTCCAATTCATTACCTTTCTCCTCCAACAGACATATGGAGTTTTGTCATGTATGTCCTCTTGGCAAATCCCATAAATTGCCTTTTTCTTCTAGTAGTACTCAATATCCTACTACACTTGAGCTGATTTATAGTGAAGTATGGGGGTCATCTCTTGTAACTTCTCTTCATGGATTCAGATATTATATTCTCTTTGTTGATGCATATAGTTGGTTTCAATGGATTTTTCCACTTGTTCACAAATCAGAAGCTCTGAATGTGTTTATCAAATTTAAACTTCAAGTTGAAAATCAATTTGGTAGTAAGATTAAGTGTGTACTGAAAGGAAGGGAGATCCATCATATGGATGGTCGAACCTTGCAAGGAGATTGGGCGAAATTTGAAAAATTTTCTTTCTCCCTTCTAGGAATCCTATTCCCTGATTTAGAAAACTGCATTTTCAAGGATTGCTTTGAATCAAAACTGAACCAGATTTCAAACCAAAAGGGAAGAGAAGGATATACTTGATATGAAGTAACAGTAACTCCCAACGTAGGTATTCACGCCCAAAGAGAAGACCAAAACCCGCCTCCACTGAAGATGACATAGCGTATGGTGAGGCAGGATCAGTAGGATGGTTCTTCAGCAAGAACCTAAATTCTTCAACAAGAATCGAACACGGGCTGGTGAGCATGACTTAGAATTGTTTCTTCCAGCAAAATAATATCAAGAACCTTTCTTGATCAGCTCCAAGGTGGAGATCGAACTAGGTACGGGCGGCAAGAATTAGGGAGAATTCTGTAGGTTTCTAGGTGTCTCTAAACTGAGGAATACATCCCCTATTTATAGCCTTCTTTGGATCAACCTCCTAATTTGATTAGGAGAGAGTTTCTTGATCCAAATCTGATATTTAGATCTGGACTCTTCAATGGATAAGACTTATCTTATCCTTCAGCTAATCTTGATCAATTTATAAATCAGATCTCGCCCCCTTTTAATTAACTAACTTAAGCCCAATTCAAAATGAGCTTTAGGCCCATTAAGTCACATAACTCACTTGCCCTTTAACATGCTGGTTAACTTAGCTCTCTTTGTATGGCATGAGACCCTAGCATTGACCTATACATCAGCTACATGGGTTCAGCCCAGCCTCTATTACAAGACCTAGCCGAATTCATTGTAGGACACAGTGAACCCATAAGTCTATCACAATGGGCTCTTAATGGGCCCAACATTTAAACTAAATGGTCATTAGGGCCAACCACCTTATGAAAACCCAAGGACTATGGGCAGATGCAAGATTAGCCCCTCAGGTATTATCCTCAATGGCCTTACACTTAATCTCTCAGGCCTTAATGATCAAACATTACTCGACAAGAGAGGATCTTTCCCTTGGCTGGAAGGTACAATGATGCAGTCTCTACTCACATGGACCCCAAGAATTAACACCTTTTGCAAACAATTTGAAACCATAATATATATATATATATATATATATATATATATATATATATATATGTATGTATGTATGTATATCTCTATATAAATATATTTTTCAAAACAAATTTCAAACACATTTGAACTCCACTGTCGATAGTTTAGGTTTCTATCAGAGAGAGTGCATTCCCCAATCATTTACTTTGTCCGACAAAGGGTCTGATCCTGTCACTATGATCACCCACTCAGGTGAATTCTCAGACTGTCCCAACGTACCAGGTTTTAACCCCCTCTAAGGATCTCACTGATTGATATATCAAAGACATCCTAATCCGACACCTAGTGCAGTACCATAATTGAGTTTAGGGGTTAAGTGTAGCATTTCAGTTTTGCTCATCTATCTCCAAGGTCCAGGGCAATACTAGAATTTGGTATGGTTCAGAGTTTCAAGAAAACTCACACTACATGTACCTCAGGTCTCACCCTGGTAGTTGAGACAAGCCACCCCAACCAACTTGGCGGCACATCAGTGTCAGCCTTAGCAGGATAAATGTCTCTAGATCTATCCAATGGTTGTGAAGATTTTAAACTAACACAAGTTTCATAAATGTCCAATTTAAGGGTATTACACAAAAACACAACAAATCACATGAATTAATTATGCACTTTTATTCATTTACAATAAATGACAATAAGTACATCAATCTGACGGAGGAGGAGAATATGTAAAATTTTGTGGCTTTCTAGAACAATGTGGGATTGTTCACTGTTACTCATGGCCTAGTACTCCTAAATAGAATGGACGCGTTGAGATTGAAGTTTCAATGGATTCTTTTGTACTTGTAAGTGTTATACCCCCATCTGATATTATTGTTAATTCTCATCATATGATCACTAGAAGCAAAGCCAGTATATTCAAACCCAAGCTTTATCTTGCTTCTCTCTACCCTTTAGATGTCTCTACTATTGAACCTACAAGTTTTACTCAAGCCAATAACAGTACTCATTGGCATGAAGCAATGATTGTTAAGATTGAGGTACTTTAAAAGAATCACACTTGGGTTCTTATACCTCCTCGTGCTGACATGCACGTTATCGGTTGCACATGGGTCTTTTGGACCAAGCGCAAACCTAATGGTTCCATGAGAATGCCTTATACAAAGCACGCCTTGTTGCAAAAGGGTATACTCGGCAACCCGGACTTGATTATGTAGAAACTTTTACCCTAGATGTTAAATCAGCTATAATTCGAGTTGTTCTCTCAATTACTCTCTCTAAGAATTGGGTGCTCAAGAAACTTGATATACAAAATGCTTTTTTACATGAAGATTTATCAAATGATGTCTTTATGAAACAACCCATGGTTTCGTAGATGAGCAATACCCTCATTATGTTTGTCATCTCGATAAATCTTTATATGGTTTAAAGCAAGCGTCTGAAGCCTGGTTTCATAAATTGAGTTCCTTCTTGCTATTAGCTAGATTCAAATCCTCTACCTCTGATTCGTCTTTCTTTATACTATCATCTTTCTCTACAATTATCTTTGTCTTGATTTATGTTGATGATATCATCATTATAGGGTCTAACCCTTGTGCAATTGATATTCTTATTGCATCTATGCACGACTCCTTTGCAATCAAGGATTTGGGTGAGCTTCATTTCTTTCTTGGTGTTGAAGTGCTTCATTCTTCCTCTAGTATATTTCTCTCTCAAAGCCAATATATTGTTGATTTACAATATAATGCTCATATGGAAGGTGCAAAACTAATTTATTCTCTAATGGTGTCCTCTTATAAGCTAAGTAGCATATTGGGGAGCCTCTACCAGATGCTTCTTCTTATAGGTGTATTTTTGGGGCGCTCTAATACTTGACAACTACACATCTTGACATTTTCTTTGTTGTTAATAAGATATGCCAATTTATGCATTGTCCCACTACAAAACATTGCCTTGCAATGAAACACATATTGCGTTATTTAAAGCACACACTTCATTATGGCCTACGTTTGGCTTCCTCCTCTTATCTTTGCCTTCATGTGTATTCCAATGCTAATTGGGTTGGGATCCCAGATGATAGGTGTTCTCAGGGTGGCTTTTGCATCTTCTTAGGTCTCAATTTAATCTCATGGTCTTCTAAGAAGTAAACCACAGTATCTCATTCCAGCATTGAATCTGAGTACTGGAGCCTTGCTTGTGTAGCAGTTGAATTGCTTTGGTTGAAGTTTCTTCTTACTGAGCTCTCTATGCTCCCCTCTTCTTCACCCATTCTTTGGTGTGACAATATTGGTGCCCCTATCTTACTTCTAATCCAGTCTTTCATGCCCACACCAAACCGCTTTCCACTTCTTTGGTGTGACAATATCGATTCATTTTCAGTGTTGATCAACCTATTGACATCCTTACCAAACCGCTTTCCACTTCTTGGTTTGAAATGCTTAGAGACAAATTGGCAATGTGTTCCTCCCCTGTCCACTTGAAGGGGGCCGATAAGGATAGTAGGTCCACGTGTGCTTCTCAAGAAAAACAAAGACCCAAGTTTGAACTGATCTCAAACTCCGTTAAGTCCTAATTAACTGGACTTTGTTGTTTTATCTTCTTATCCATCTTTCTTTCTTGTAAACCTTATCATGTATCCTTCATCTATACGTTACATAACCTATATATTGAATATCAAACCTCACTAACTATTTGGTGAGTTTATCATTAAATTGCCTCTCTG